AGATAGTTTAGCTCAGCACGTCCTGTGCCCCAGTAGGGGACTTTCGGGGCCGATGGCCCCCCGGACGAAAAATATACATACATACATACATACATACATACAGATGAATGATTCGTTTCTCGTTCCCTCCCACAGCATACTCATACTGTGAACAACAGACGATGGAAGCTAATGCACTTTGATTCATAATAATTTCAACAGAGTTCAGTTTATTAAATCGGAAAACATGCAAAGATTCCGAATTCCATCACAGTACAGGGTAAGTTCCGAGACACGATACGATAGTAACACCACCCATGGTGTTTATAAGACAAGGGATGATTGAGCTGACGCTGAGGAGAACGCGAGGCAATTGCCTTCCACATCAGCTGTTTCAACTCTGGACGGCTCACTAATTGCGCTGCGGAATAGAACCTTCGTTGGACCGAACGCCATGCACCGGCCGGCAGCTTGATAGAGTCCGAAAGTCTCACGCCTGAAGCGCACCAACCAATAACCCACATAAGCGAAGTGAAGCAAACCTGAAGGGATTACAATTGAGTTTCGGCTACGACTTGAACTTTCAAGCATCACTCAATCATGTTGACGATGATGAGGGAGAGTTTGCTTGGCCACCATCGAGAAACGGGAGACGGCATGCCAGTTCTGGCACCGAGGGCGTCAATGATGCCAGTGACGTTAGTGAGTGCGTTCCTAGGTCCAAGTTCCGGAGATAGGAGGGTTTCAAGGTTTAGGTCAACGGCACTAATGAGCGACATATGGCGCGACAAACGTACGGAAGATGCCGCACAAGTTTACGATATGTCATATCTGTCTGTGAGCTTGGCTTGGAACAAGAGACGCTCTAGGCGATGGAAAATGCTCAAGGCTGGTGTTTTGTGGGGGTTTGTGAGCAATGCAGAGGGATCTACAGGGGATTTCGTGGAGGTTGAATGTAACGATATCGCGATATTGAAACGCGTAAGCGGAATCCCTTGTCTTACAAGTGGTGTTATGGAAGTTGAAGGACGAGCTATTGATCAAGGTGTAGGGAGATGGGATGATGAGGCTCACCGTATACCGAGCCCTAGAAGGAAAAGCAAAGTGATGAACAGGTACGAAGCAACATGCCACAGATAAGTCGAAGTTAATGCACTGACTGCATCGCATCACGCACAGGTACTGCCTGTAGGTGTAGCCTGTTTGTTTGTTTGTTTGTTTGTTTGTGTATTTTTCGTCTGGGTGGCTGTAACGAAGCCAAATCTCCTAC